GTGCGTACGGACAAAGAGAGGGCAGCTTAAAGCCAAATCCAATCGGGAGACTCACCAGTCCACAAACAGAGGGTGAGGACCACTCCCCACCCTTGGTAGATATGCATAGTGAGGTTAACAACATAAAACCTGAAGTAAGATGTCTGTATTTTGCTTTGGGGGAATCAAAAGATATTTAGAAATCAGTCATAGGTTTGGGCCTTGTGTGTTTTTGGCAGGGAGAAGAGGCTCTGGAGGAAATACTTTTGCTCTCTTGTCCTTAACAGTGTTGGCAGTCGGTGCTTTCTTTGTTTCGGGTCTAAGGAGCCTATTTCCTTGCTTTGTCCCGAGACCGACCTGCTCCTCTTTCTCACAGGGCATTTTCAGAATGTTATTTCTGGGGGACAGGGCCCCCCCCCCCCATAGCAATCATAACCTTTAAAAATGCGGCTCTAAAGTCCCTCTTGTAGCATCACACCTGACCCCAAAATACGTTCAATTTAACCTTTTCCTATTCTGTGTAATCTCCTCTCTGCTGGGGACACTTTTGGAAAGAGTTAAAAAACGTGCCTTAACTCATTTGGGTTGCTTGTTCTGGCTGGGAACAAGTTGGCCAAACTGGAGCACTTTTTAAAAGAGTCGCTGCTTTTGCTGTGTGGTCCAGTCCTACGCGTGCCCAGTCCATTGATGTTATGGGCATTAATGGGATTTTGGGGAGGTGGGCGAGGCTCACAGCTTCTGCTTGGCGTGCAGAAGGTCCCAGGTTCAAATGTTCCCTCTAAGATGTCGAGTCTTGTGAGCAAAAGTTCTACCTTGTGAGCTGCTGGCATTAAAGGTGTGAGCGAGTGATTTGGCTGCTGCATAACTTAGTTTGCTCTGGAGCCATCCTTCCTCAGCTAAGACAAAAATCTGTGAGCCGGAGGCTAAAAAACTGTGAGCTAGCTCACACTAACTCAGCTTAGAGGGAACACTGGTTCCCCCGTGGCCACTGGTGGGGGGATATGGGGTAGACTTGCCAGACTCAGTTTGGGAAACTCCTGGAGATTTGGGGGTGGAGCCTGGGGAGGACAGGGACCTCAGTGCGGTACAATGCCACAGAGTCCACCCTCCAAAGCATCCATATTTTCTCCAGGGGAACTGATCTCTGTAGTCTGGGGATGAGCTGTAGTTCCGGGCGATCCCCACGTCCCATCTGGAGGCTGGCGTTCCGAAATCCCTGGCACCTCCAGTTAAAGGCACCAGGCAGTCCACTGCAGAGGAATGGCTGGTGATAAGCTTCCCAAGTCCCCCTGGGAGGTGGGGAAAACCCTGCCCCAGAGGCCCGTTCCCCGGCACCGCCGGATTGGGCCCTGGGGGAAACTCCTCCCCGACGTGTGCGTCACCTGGAAGTGACGTGACCACGCCGGGCACGCTGGGGATGGAGCCATGGCCATCCAAGGGAAAACTCTATGGTTTTCCCTTGTATGGCCGTGGCCCCGCCCCCAACGTGCCTGGCGTCATCACGTCACTTCCGGGTGACGTGCATACGGCGCGCACGCACCAGATGCTGGCCGGGAGCCCCCCGCTCCCAGCGAAGATCAACTTGGCAACCCTAGCTGGTGAAGATGATGGAACTTGCAGAGATGGATAAACGTACTTCCTTGATTAGAAAAAAACCCATTATCTACAGTTTGGTGTAGTGGTTAAGTGCGCGGACTCTAATCTGGGAGAACCGGGTTTTATTCCCTTTCCTCCACTCGCAGCTGCTGGATGACCTTGGGCAAGCAGTAGTTCTGATAAGAGCTGTTCTTGAAAAAGAGCCGTTTCTGTCAGAGCCCCCTCAGCCCCACCTACCTCACAGGGTGTCTGTTGTTGGGAGGGGAAGGGAAAGGCGTTTGTAAACCGCTCTGAGACTCCCTTGGGTAGTGAAGGGTGGAGTATAAATCCAATCTCCTCTTCTTCTACATTTATTGTTAACTGGAAACCCTTTGTAGACTTTTTGCAGGAAATGGGAAAAAAATAAACTGATAATAAGTGGATTTGAGGATTAAGGGTGGCAAAAAGAGTAGACCTTAGGGGAAAAAGAGAAGCTTATTTCTTTTGTACTAAGAGCGTAAGTGTTAAGTCTGTAATTTTACTTGTATTTGTCGCGGAGAAAATTGGAAGTCACGTCTTTACATTTTCTTTTTGTTTTCTATCTTTCTTGCTCTGTTTTTTAGCTCCGCGTTTCTCTCTTTTTTTTCTGAAGGCTTTCTGCTTTTCATCTCTTTGTTTGAAAATTTCTTTCATAAATTTTCTTTTTCTTTTTTTTAAAAAGCACCCGGTAGTAGGCGATGGCCCTGACCTGGCTGCCCCAGGCTGGCCTAATCTCCTCAGTTCTCAGAAGCTAAGCAGGGTCGGCCCTGGTTAGCCTTTGGATGGGAGACCGCCCAGGAGGCAGGCGATGGCCAACCACCTCTGGCCTTGAAAACCCTATGAGGTTGCCGTTAGTTAGCTGTGACTTTGTGGCACTTTCCAACATTGATAGTTGACGTGAAAGCGCTGGTTGCCAGGTCTCCTCGTCGCTCTGGCTGGGGGATTTGGGAGGCGTTCCGGGGTGGGCGGGGATGCTCCCAAGGGTCTCTTCATGAACAGAGCTGCAGCTGGCGACAGCCCCCCCTCCCTCCCTGCTGAAACATTTAAAGGGCCCTCCAGCTGATCGGCAGACCACCTCCTCCCCACCGATCAGCTGAAGCCCTTTAAATCTCTGCAGGAGGAGAGCAAGAGGGGTGGCTGCAGGCTGGGGTGGGACTTTGGGGACAGGTCTTCCCCAACCAGCCAGCTGGCCACCTGCAGATTGGAGCCCCCAGAGGCACGGGAACCCCCGCCCGGATCTGGGGGCTGACATCCCTAAAGCCCTCTCCCTGAGACCCTGGAGAGCTACTGCCTGTCAGGGTGGACAGTACGCAGGCCTGTAGCTACAGTGGGGCATTTTGGGGCCTGCCCCCTGACTTCCTGCCAAGGCCCCCTGACTTCCTGCCAAGGCCCCTTGACTTCCGTCCGGCACCCAGGCCCCCTGACTCTCTGGGCCACTCGGAGGACTCCCAACTCTCTGGGCCACCTGGAGGATTCCCCACCACCGCCCCTTCCCCAAGCGTGGCTTGCTTCCCCATGTAGGCAAGCAGAGCGTGAACGGTGCAAAAGTGAGTTTTTAAATTTTTACTTTGATTTTGTGACGTCAGTGCCCCCTGACTTATTCAAAGGCCCCCTGAATTACAGAATCTTGGCTACAGGCCTGACAGCACTGACTTCGATGGACCAGGGATCCCATGCAGTGTAAGGCAGATGCATGGGCCTTATTGCCAGGGAAGTGTGCTTAGGATTCCAGCTGTAAGATTAACTCTCCCATTGAAATCAGTGGAACGGAAGAGTTTGACTTATGATCCCTCCCTTAAGTATCAATGTGTGTGGTAATGCTGGCAGATCTATGCTGAAATTGCACCCCGAACTGTTTGGAGGAGAGGCAGGATAAAAATGTACTCGATAGTTAAATCAAGATGGGCAGCTGTGTTAGTTTGTCTGGTTAAGACGCTGAACCCCAGGCTGGAAGGTTGGTAGTTCAGCAGTTCGAGACCCGAGTGCCGCGTGACGGAGTGAGCTCCCATCTTTGACCCTAGCTCCTGCCAACTAGGTTCGAAAGCAAGAAATTGCAAGTAGGTAAATAGGTACCGCTTCGGTGGGAAGGTAACAGCGTTCCGTGCGCCTCGGTGTTTAGTCATGCCGGACACATGACCACGGAAACATCTTCGGACAGCGCTGGCTCTTCGGCTTGGAAATGGAGATGAGCACCATCCCCTAGAGTCAGATTTGACTGGCTTTCGAGCAAGGGAAACCTTATCTTTACTAGCGGCAGAAAAGAGCAAGAATCTGGCAGCACCTTAAAGACTGACAGCATTTGTGGCAGGGCGGGAGCTTTCATGAATCAGGGCTCACTCCTTCAGATAGTTAAACCAGCACAAACCAATATGAATTAACCTGAGTAGTGATCGGAGTGTTGAAACGTTAGACCAAGGAAACTGGGACTGGTAGACTTGCTCTGTAGCTCGGTATCAACGGAGTAGCCCTATGCAGGATTGTTGTGAAGATAGAAGGGATAGGGGAACTATGTACATTGCCTTGAAGTTTTTTGGACGAAGGGTTGTAACAACACCCTGTAGGAATTTTTGGTGTTATGTTCATCAGAGATCCCTAGCCTGCCTCCCTCATCACAAAAACTACACTTTACAAAGCCTACTTTGATGTCGGAAAATAAAAAAGCTACTTATGAAATTTTATTAAACAAGTCTAACGAGTTAAAACCATTTGAGACTCTACGAGAAATTAATATAGAACTTACATGGTGGGAGAATTTGTAACTACAGTCTAGGTTCGCCAAAGATAAAATAACAAAGTTTTATAATGGGGAAACAGATCTTGATAAAATTTGGCTGTCAACCTCTGATAAATTGATTCAAAAGTTGATTTTTTTTTAATATGAAGTCATGCAGGAGGAAATAATTAAGCCATCAATGATAAAATGGATGCAAGATATAGAACATAATCTGGATATAGACGTCTGGACAAAAATATGGAAGGCTGTCTAACTGTTAAGATCAGCATCCTACAAGGAAAATATACTAAAAATGTTCTATAGGTGGTACATTTTATCACCAGATAAAATGGCTAAATGCTATAAAGAGATGTCAGGAAACTGTTGGAGGTGTAAAAATAACGTGGGTACCTTCTTCCATATGTGGTGGCGGTGTGAAATGATTCAGAAATGTTGGAAGGGTATTAAGCAGTTAATAACAGAGATTATGGGCATTGAATTGCAGCTAGTACCAGAAATCTATTTACTCATTATAATACCAGATGGATATATGCATGATGAAATATGTATTTTGTCATATATCCTTACTGCAGCCAGGATATTGGTTGCCAAATGTTGGAAATCTGAAAACCTACCTGTTAGAGAGGAGTTGATTGTAAAAATCTGTGATGTGTCAGAAATTGACAAGGTGAACATGATTATTTCAGGTAAAGAGGAAAAGGCTTTTCAAAAGAGATGGTTTAGAGTTAATAAATGGTTGGGGGAAAATATGTAACTCCATAATTATATCCAGGGGTCGTTTCGTAGAAAAAGAGCTAGGGGAACTCATTAGCATAACTCATTAGCATGAGCCCCATGAGGGGCCCGGCGATGGACCTGCAAGGCCGGCGGGAGTGCGAGGAAGCCCCGCGAAGGCCCGCGAAGGCAGGCAGGCAGGGTGGGGAGAGGCAGGGAACCCTCCCTCTTCTCCTGCCTCCTCCTGGCTGAATGAGGGCTGGAAGTGGGGCGGCCGGAAGCAGGAGGCGGGGCTTCATCATGTGCCCCGCCCCCTGTACCTCACCCGGGGGAACTGCGATCCCCCGCGTTCCCCCCCGAAATGGCCTCTGATTATATCTCATTTAAAAAATATTGTTACTTCCTTATTTGGTGTTTTTATATATATATAATTCTTTTTGGTGTATTTGCGTTTTCAATGAAAATTATAAATATTGTCATACTTTTTTGTAATGGAAAATCATATTGTGATTCCTTTTTGTAATGAAAAATAAATAATAACCATAAATAAATAAATCATAAATAATAGTCATAAATTTGTAAACAAAAACCAAAAAAAAACTACACTTCCCAGAATTATGTGGGAGGAGAGGGTGTGGCCATTAAACCAGTTTTAGGCTGTGATGTAAATGTTCCCCTGACCCCTCTCTCCTTGAGGAATGATAGGAACAGGGAATGAGTTGACACGGGAGACTCCTTTTCTCGTTTCTTTGTTGAGGCAGGTTTGATTTACCAGATCACTTTATCTCTGGCAGCGGACAATCAGTATGAATGAGGAGATCACCACAGCTCTGTCCCAAACACACATGGCGAATCCCTTCCGAACATACTTTTGCAAACTGCCAACCTTTTGTTCTCCGCTCATACGCTGTGCAAACAGACTTTTGAATTTCCGAACCTTGGTTAATACTTGGCCAGAATACTCGGTGCCCTGCGCATGTCATTTGGCAGCGAAAGGCTTTGATTTCCCCCGCTCTGGTTCATTGGCTCAGCTCCTGGACATCTTACTCATCGGGGTGAGAACTTCCTGAAGTCCTGGTGTTAAATGAAAGCCTCTTTGTCCTGTTTCCTGTTCTAGCAGCTAACCTTTCTAGGATGGGGACAAAGTTTGAGTCCAGTGGCACCTTTAAGACCAACAAAGTTTTATTCTGGGACTAAGCTTTCACGTGCACGCACATGAAACTTTTGAAGACGTGCCCGCACACGGAAGCTTAGTCCCAGAATTAAACTTTCGTGGTCTTAAAGGTGCCAAACTTTGTTCTGTTTCAGATCAACACGGCTCCCCACCTGAATCTCTCTAGGATGGGTTAGTTCAGAGTTCTGAAGCGCTGATTTGTCTTTAATCGGCTTTTTGAAAAGGGATTTTTAAAAAAGTTTTGGGTTTTTTTAGATGTTCTGTAGCAGGGGTCCCCAGCCTTTCTGAGTCTGTGGGCACTTTTGGAATTCTGACACAGGGCAGTGAGCGCAGCCATAAAATACCTGGTGCAGGAGGCTGGGAGCACACACACAGAGGAAGCCCAAAAGCCACGAGGAAGGATAATTTTAAAAATACACTAGGAAAGAGGGTTGAGGAAAAATAGAACAAATATTGTCATGGGAGCTACACTGAAACAGTGCTTTTTTGATCTGCATAGTCAAACAGATCTTCGGTGGCCTACCCGTTCCCACCCATCATACTAGGCTTGCCAAGTCCCCCCGGGGGGCGGGGAACCCCCCGGCCCAGAGGCCCGTTCCCCGCCGCCAGCAAATCGGGCCCCGGGGGGAACTCCACCCCGACGTGCACGTCACCAGGAAGTGACGCGACCACGCCGGGCATGCTGGGGGCGGGGCCACGGTCATCCGAGGGAAAACTCTATGGTGGAGTGATTTCAGATGTAGGCAAATGACAACAGCAGGTGTGATTAGATTTAGGTGAGATATCCAGAGGGATAGAGAAATTAGCATTGGTAATGAGACAGGAAACCTAGGTCTCGATTCAGTCCAGGTGGACGCATTGTCTTGAGCTTCATTATCAGTTGTACCTGCTGAATTGCAGCTGATAATGAAGCTCAAGATAATGCATCCACCTGGATTCAGTTGAGACCTAGGTTTCCTGTCCCATTACCAATGCTGATTTCTCCATGCCTACTACCCCTCCGCATATCTCACCTAAATCCAATCATGTCTACTGTTGTTATTCACTTGCTACTGTCATTTGCCTGTTAATGTCACTTGGCATCTGAAATGACTCCCCTTTCCAATAAATAGGACAGATGGACTCCCATTCTAGCTGTATCTGAAGAAGTGAGCAGTGACCAGTGTTCCCTTTAAGCGGAGTTAGTATGAACTAGCTCACAGTTTTTAGCCTCCAGCTTGGGAAGGAGGGCTCCAGAGCAAACTAATTTATGCAGCGGCCAAATTGCTCACTCACAACTTTAAGGTCAGGAGCTCACAAAGTGGAATTTTTGCTCACAAGACTCCACAGCTTAGAGGGAACATTAGCAGTGACTCACAACATCTCATACCCTGCCACATATTTGGTTAGTCTTTAAGGTGCTCCTGGACTCTTTATTTGTCCATAGGGCACTGTTATCATCCTTGTCATTCTTTCTTCTTGGCACCGGACCGCTTGTAGGGCAGCTGTCTCCAGCAGTTGAACAAACGGGCGAACTTCATGGATCCAGACTTCCAGCAGAAACTGGAAGACGAGAAGGAGCTCATCCGCCGGGCCATCCAGAAGGAGCTGAAGATGAAGGAAGGGGCAGAAAACCTGCGACGGGTGACCACCGACAAGAAGAACCTGGTGCACGTGGAGAATGTCTTGAAGTCTTCCAACCGCAAACTGGAGCGGCTGCACTTGGAACTCCACGAGCTCAATGCCCGGATAGTAGCCACTGAGAAAGAGGAGGAGAAGATGACAGGTGGGTGGGTGCAAGGTTACAAAGAGGATGGTGGGGAAATAGTGCTTCATCAGCAGCTCAGCCCATCTGAAGGAAACGCTCCTTGGCCAGGGCTAGATAGAGATTTTGGGAGTGGAACCTGGGGAGGTTGGGGATTGGAAAGGGCAGGGACCTCAGCAGGGTGTAATGCTATGGAGTCCACCCTCCAAAGCAGTCATTTTCTCCAGGGGAACTGATCTCTCTCAACTGGAGATCAATTGTAATTCCAGGAGATCTCCAGCCACCACCTGGAGGTTGGCAAACATAATGCAAGGGTCCAGGGAAGCCTGTGGGGGTCGAGTATTAGGGCCCAGTCGGGCAGCATCTGTGGCTGGTCTTCCTGAATGACTAGCCAAATGGTCATTGGGATGGACACAGTCTCTTTGGGGAAGGTCTGCATATCGTGGGGGGCCTATAGGCAGTCTCCTTGGAAAGACCACCTGTCATTGGGGTGACGATCTCAGATTTTGGCCCTCCCTCTGCAATGTCCCCTAAGAATATAAAAGATGCCCTGCTGGGTCAGACCAGAGCTACATCTAGTCTTGCTTCCTGTTTCACACAGTGGCCTACCAGTTTGCCCTGCTTTTATCCTGTATGAGCGAAGAGTTGCCAAGAATTTCTTGCAGGTGCAGAGTCTTCCGGTGGTCGAACATGTGCTTTCCCTGCCAAAGGTTCCAAATTCAGTCCCCCGAGAGTTTAACAAAAGGGGCAGGTGGTTTTGGGGAAGGTCCTGCTCCTGCTCGATACCCCTACAATTGAATAGACAGTACTGAGCTAGCAGAGTTAGTGTAAAGTGGTCAGAGTTAGTGGGGAATTTCAGACAGCCAATATATTCTGGTTCATGAACTGTTCCCTAACGGTTTCTGGTCTGACAGTTCCTACCGGAATATATTCCTACTGGAATATATTTTCACTTTCAGACAGAAACGCTTCTGTCCCGTTAGGGAAGCATTTCTGAACCGTTTTATCTGCAAACTGCTTCCAAGTGGTCTTCACTTTTCTATACCGTTTCTGAAGCGCTACGGGGTGCTGTGTAAAATGCCCCGTAGTGCTGCTTCTGGCACTGCTTTGTTTTCCCGCCCTTTCCCGCCTGCCCAGGTGATCTCCGTCCTTTTTTAAAAACGTTTGTTTTAGAGTGCTATACCGCTATAGCACTCTAAAACAAACGTTTAAAAAAAAGGACAGAGATCGCCCGCGCAGGGGCGAAAAAGGGCCGGAAAACAAAGCGGCGCAGTCTGAAATGCCAAACCGCTTCAGAGACGGCTCCTTACCAGTAGGGGAAAGGCTGTGTGAAATGGCAGTCCTGTACCGGTTTACTCCAAGATGGTACAGTAACGGCTTAAAAACGGCTTAAAAAGGGTAATGTGAAATTCCCCAGTGTAAAGTAGTTTCCCTTCTTCATAATGAAAAGGCCAGAAATAATATATACTGGAGGAGCCGGGGCTGAGAGGCTGAGCGTCCCTGGTGGTTATGGCTAGGGGATTTCCAGTAGCAGATGTTGGACAAAGCCGTTCTGTGCCTGAGGTCTGCTGCTAGTCAGAGCGGATAGTGCCAAGCTAAATGGTCCGGCTCTTTGTACGGCAACATGGTATGTTTATATTCTTGCCTGTTTTGTGTGTGGTGCAAGCCACCTCCCCCTTCCCCCAGTCCCCATCAGCAAGAGCTGGGCCACCCCGGCAGGGCTCTTTTTGTAGCAGGAACTCCTTTGCATATTAGGCCACACACCCCTAGTGTAGCCAATCCTCCAAGAGCTTACAGAGCTCTTCTTACAGGAGCTACTGTAAGCTCTTGGAGGATTGGCTACATTAGGGGTGTGTCACTTAATATGCAGATGAGTACCCGCTACAAAAAGAGCCCAGGTTGCCAGGTCGTGCTTCGTCACCCATGGGGGACTTTGGGGGGTGCGTTCCTGGAGGGGGTGGGGACATCCCCAATGCTGTGAAGTCATGCAGAAGTGATGTCATCACATTAGGGACACAGCCCCGTGGAAGGGGCCGTTGGCACTGTCTTGCAAGAACCATTTAAAGGGAACCTTTATTCTCTTTGTTTCTTAAGCCTGCACCAGGTCTTAACAAATTATTTGTTTTTAAATATTTGTATCCTTCCCCCTCAACCAGAAAACCGATATCTAAGGTGGCTAAGACAATTTGAATCACATGTGCCACACACACACATTCATTAGTAGCTAAATTTACAAATCACAAAAACAGAAAAAAGAAAAAGTGACAGCAGCTGATTAAAAACCTTCAGACGGTTTAACACTAGCAGAGAGGAGTTCAAACCAGTGTGCTGTAGTGGCTGGACTCGGATCTGGGAGACCTGGATTCGAATCCCTACTCTGCCATGGAAGCTCGTGGGGTGACCTTGGGCTGGTCCCACCACACTCTCAGCCTAACCGACTTCACAGGGTTGTTGTGAGGATAAAATGGAGGGAAAGGCGAATGATGAAAGCTGCCTTGGGGGGTCCATATTGAGGAGAAAGGCGGAGAAGTAATTAAATTTAAAAACCAGCAAAAACATTAACAAATAAGTTTCTTCCCATGTTAATAAAAAACAAGAGGCCTAGAGTTTTGCGTCTGTCTGCCATTGGTGAAAGACTGGTGATGATTCTTGAAAGGTTTGTCCCTTTGTTTAAAAGAAGATATGCAGAAAGAATGGACTAGTCAGTCGTTCTAAGAGCAATCCAGCAGGCAAGAGGTAAAGAATACGGAGTGGTGCAGGCTCCGCCCACCCCGCCCCACCCCCTCCCATATGTTTGCATACCCAAAACATGCGGCCCGGGGGCCAGATCAGGCCTCTGGAGGGCTTCCATCAGGCCCGCAGTGGAACTGGCCATCGCCTGCTTCCAGTTCTGCTGCTGCTGCTACATCATAGCTTGCTTCAGCAAACTCTTACTCAGCCATTTCATGTTTTAATCTGGGTCCTAGACTCAGAACTCTGAACATGAGATTTCTGTGGTGAATGTCAATAAATCAAAAGTAGGCTTGCAGCTTACAGAGCTAATGTTTTAAGCGTGTTTTTATTTTAAATTTAAATTTTTGTGTTTGTGTCCTTTATAAAGTATATATCTCCGCTACCTGGCATTACATTTTATGACACACATGGCCTGGCCCAACAGGGTCTCATTTATGTCAGATCCGGCCCTGATAACAGAAGAAGAAGAAGAGGAGTTTGGATTTATACCCCGCCCTTCACTACCCAAAGGTGTCTCAGAGCGGCTTACAAACTCCTTTCCCTTCCCCTCCCCACAACAGACACCCTGTGAGGTAGGTGGGGCTGAGAGAACTCTTGACAGAAACTGCTCTTTTTCAAGAACAGCTCTTATCAGAGCTATGGCTTGCCCAAGGTCATCCAGCCAGATGCAAGTGGAGGAGTGGGGAATCAAACCCGGTTCTCCCAGATTAGAGTCCGCACACTTAACCACTATACCAAACTTCCCAAGACAGTATTTTGTGTCTGGTGGGTTTTAAGTATAGGATACTTTGAGAGAACTGGCACCAGGGGCCATTTCCTGTGGGAGCACACAGGAGTGGAACTCCGGCAGTAAGGAGCCCAGGGGGCGGGCACATGCAAAAGGCCCCGCCCCCTGCTCCCAGCAGCCCTCAATCAGGCCACGAGGAGCAAGAAGCAGCCAGGTAATTTGCAGAGCCCCCCCCAGCCCACCTTCAGGTACAAGCTCTCCCTCCTCTGCGAGGACAGATCTGCATGTTCCCCCCCCCCAATAGCTAGCAATCCAGAACAGTCCAGTGGAGCCTGAGTGGTGGGTGTTGCCTTCTGACACACTCCCGGTGATGTCAGGGGGCGTGGCATATGCAAATAAGTTATGCTAATGAGATCCTGCACCTCTTTTTCTACGAAATGACCCCTGACTGGCACTAAATGTAGGATACTTTGAGAGAACTGGCACTAAATATAAGAATATTGAAGGATTTTACTTCGAGATACATCTGGTGGGGCAGGGGCAAGGTAGCGGGGAACTTAACGTGGGGGGGGGCCTTCCCAAGCCTCCCCACCGCTGTGCGGGCGAAGCACACCAGGGGTGGAACGAGGGGTGGGGTGGGGGTCTGGGATCCACCTAGGATGGGGCAGGTCTCATTCGTGGTGAGCTCTGCCCCCAAATCCCCCTCTGCGGCTATGGGCCTGCTTCTGCTGGTGGGTCCCAGAGAACTACTGAGAATCAAGCCCGCTCCTGTCTTCCTAGCCCCACCCCTTGTCTGTATGGCCCCGCCTTGGAGTTGTTTGTATGAGAAGAAGAGGGGAATGTTGTCTCCAACCTGCTGTTCAGGCTGCTTCTGTCTGCCGCTGTTTTGTTGGACTGACGGGATTTTTTTTTTTTTTAATCGTTTTGTTTTGCTGTATTGGAAGCCCCCTAGAGAATCCCTTTGAGTGTGCGATTATCTTATGTAATACATACACAAGCTGGCTTTTATAGAAAGAACTTGGCAAAATGCCTGCCCTGAGGATGTCAGAGCCCTTCTGGAACAGACCCAAGGTCCCGGTAGCAACCTTTCGGTGTCCAACCAGATGGCCTGTAAAGCCCAAAAGGGGAGGGCCTTCCTCTCTTGCTGCCTCCGGCAAGTGGCATCCAGAGAGATCCTGCCCCTGAAATGAAGGGTCCCGCATAGCCGTCATGTCCAGTAGCCACTGATCGACCTCTCCTCCTCCATGGATTGACCTTTAAAAGTCTTTAAAAGTTAGCAGTCATCACTGTACTGCATGGTAGTGAGTTCTGCAAGTTATTGCAGATTGTCTGGAAAAGGCTGTCCTGAATCTGAACCTGCTTTGTGGGGAGGGAGGGATATAAATGGAAGGAAATAAATACATAAGAGGAGGAAGAAGAGGAGATTGGATTTATACCCCCGCCCTTCACTACCCGAAGGAGCCTCAGAGCGGCTCACAAACTCCTTTCCCTTCCCCTCCCCACAGCAAACACCCTGTAAGGTAGGCGGGGCAGAGAGAGCGCTCTCGAGGACTGCTCTTGAGAGAACAGTTCTGAAAGAACTTGTGACTGACCCAAGGTCCTACCAGCAGCTGCATGTGGAGGAGTGGGGAATCAAACCCAGTCCTTCCGGATTACAGTCCATGCTCCTAGCCGCTATACCAGACTGTAAATAAAGCTACAGTGAAGTGGTAGCAGAACTGGCTTTGGCGCCAGCCCTGTTGGGAGAGATCAGAGTTTGGTGGTAGAACACATGCCTTGCATGTCCCAGACTGGTCCCAGACTGCTACCGGTGAAAAAGAATCTAGCAAGTGGGGGAAAAGATCTTTCTCCCCCCCCCCCTTGCTCTGGAGGGACACATCCTAGGGGGACCGATGGGCTGATTGGGTATAGGACTCCATCCTATGCCTGTCTCCATGCCTTCTGTGTGTACAGAGATACATTAATTTTATTTAGAATATTCATAAGCACCTTGAATAGCCCTGACTAATTCTATTTTGTCAGAGCTTGGAAGCTAAGCAGGGTTGGCCGTGGTTTATACTTGGATGGGAGACCACACCAAGGAAGTCTTGGGGTTGCTATGCAGAAGATGGCAACCATTGTCTTCCCTGTAACCCCCCCCCCCCCCCCGATCAGGTCCTGGGGTCTCCATGAATCAGTTTCGACTGGATTATTATTAAATGTGGCCTCACCGGAGGCCTGTTTGAGGCTGCTTATTATGTAAAAACGATGCATGAAATAATAAAAAAGTAGTCAATATAAGTAACACCAAGCCATTAGAGGAAAAAGCTAGGGCCATAAAGACGGCATGGACAAACGTTCAGCAACCGACACTAATATTCCTAGAACAGTCGTAGGGCAAGAAGCAGACCATAAAAACAGCATGCCGCTATACCAGACTGTAAATAAAGCTACTGTGGAGTGGTAGCAGAACTGGCTTTGGTGCCCCTGTGGCGCCCAAGGTGATCACCTAAATGCCCCTGCTGGATGGACCAGCCCTGTTGGGAGAGATCAGAGTTTGGTGGTAGAACACATGCCTTGCATGTCCCAGACTGGTCCCAGACTGCTACCGGTGAAAAAGAATCTAGCAAGTGGGGGGAAAGATCTTTCTCCCCCCCCTTGCTCTGGAGGGCCACATCCTAGGGGGACCGACGGGCTGATTGGGTATAGGACTCCTTCCTATGCTTGTCTCCATGCCTTCTGTGTGTACAGAGATACATTAATTTTATTTAGAATATTCATAAGCACCTTGAATAGCCCTGACTAATTCTATTTTGTCAGAGCTTGGAAGCTAAGCAGGGTTGGCCGTGGTTTATACTTGGATGGGAGACCACACCAAGGAAGTCTTGGGGTTGCTATGCAGAAGATGGCAACCATTGTTCATTTCTTGCTTTGCTGCCTTGAAACCCCCCCCCCCCCCGGATCAGGTCCTGGGGTCTCCATGAATCAGTTTCGACTGGATGGCACACCATTATTATTAAATGCTGCCTCACCGGAGGCCTGTTTGAGGCTGCTTATTATGTAAAAACGATGCATGAAATAATAAAAAAAGTAGTCAATATAAGTAACACCAAGCCATTAGAAGAAAAAGCTAGGGCCATAAAGACGGCGTGGACAAACGTTCAGCATCCAACACTAATATTCATAGAACAGTCGTAGGGCAAGAGGCAGACCATAAAAACAGCACATAAAGATGCAACCCCACAATTGAAAGCCTGAGATAAAACAGGTTTTTCTTGGCATCAAAAGGACAGTAAGGCGGGGCCACTAGATGAACCTCAAGAGGTGAGGTGCCTTCCAAAGATGAGGTGCCACCGCTGAAAAGGCCCTGTCTGCCTCCTTCACCTTTGAAGTTTGGGGGGAGGGATGAACAGAGAGCAGAGTTCGGGAAGAGCATCTAAACTGGCAGGATAGACTGTTGTTTCTTTAAAGCATTCCTGTCCTGCCACTCAGCTCCTTGCTCCTGACACAGTGTCCAACAATGAACATTAAAGCAATTAAAATACTACAATAAAATGGCTGTAGTCTGGAGATAAGGTGTAATTCCGGGGGATCCCCAGGTCCCACCTGGAGGCTGGCATCCGTAGCTCAGGCCCCATCCACACAAGCATGGATGGCTTCAAGAGGGAATTAGATAAACATATGGAGCAGAGATCCATCAGTGGCTATTAGCCACAAGGTATAGATAGGAAGGAGCTGCGGTGGCTCAAGTGGTTAAGATGCTGAACTGCAGGCTGTGGAAGGTCGGTAGTTCAGCAGTTCGAGACCCCAGTTGCTGCATGACGGAGTGAGCTCCCATCTCTAGTTCCAGCTCCTGCCAACCTAGCAGTTCGAAAGCAAGACATTGCAAGTAGATAAATAGGTACCAGGGTTCCGTGCACTGTGGTGTTTAGTCATGCTGGCCACGTGACCACGGAAACGTCTTCGGACAGCACTGGCTCTTCGCCTTTGAAACAGAGATGAGCACCGCAACCCTAGAGTCAGATTCGACTGGCTTTCGAGCAAGGGAACCTTTACCTTTATAGTTAGGAATTCTGGGGCAAGTGACGCTCTGTATTCTTGGTGCTGGGGCGGGGCAACAGTGGGAGGGCTCCTAGTGTCCTGGCCCCACTGCTGGACCTCCTGATGGCACCTGGTATTTTCAGCCACTGTGTGACAGAGTGTTGGACTGGATGGGCTATTGGCCTGATCCAACATGGGCTTCTCTTTATGTTCTTATGGAAGCCCCAAGAGAGCTGCTGATTTGAGGAAGGGCCTGCTGCTGAGGCCAGGCCTGTGTCTAGGAAGCAAGGGGGCCGTGTTCCCTTTCTCTCTGCACATTGAGAAGCGTAGCAGGGATGGCAAGGTGAGATCACTCAGTGGTAGAGAAGATTCCTTTTTAGCCCGGGCAGGTTAGAGGATGTGGTTCATCCTCTTCCTGTCACGTGACTCTGATGTCATGTGCTTTCTGGGCAGTGGCCCCAGACTGCCACCTGGGTGTTCAAGCTGGGTCTGGAAAGGCTGAAGACCAGTTAACCTTTAAACCCTGACCGAGTAGGCAGTATTAAACTACATGAGCTGGTGGTCCGGCTCTTTCACAGACACTGAATAGTGCCCTTTCAGTCCACTCTCGATGCACTTTTGTGATTGTTTGCAAGTGGATTTGGCCATCTCACGCAATGAAATCCAGTTGCAAAGTGCACTGAAAGTGGATTGAAAGTGCAGTATGTTTAGCATGAGTGATGGCAGGGCTCTTTTTGTAGAAAAAGCCCAGCAGGAACTCATTAGCGTAATAGGCCACACCTAACAGCAGAAACTCATTAGCATATTAGGTCACACCCCTGACAGCACAGCTCATTAGCACATTAGGCCGCACCCCCATGTTACCAGAAGTGTGGTTATCCAGCCACACTCACTTTTTGCTTCTTATTCTGTTTACCTTGTTTGTGGTCAAAACTCAGGGCTTTTTTGTAGCAGGAACTCCTTTGCATGTTAGGCCACACACCCCTAATGTAGCCAATACTAATGAGTTTCTGCTGTTGGGTGTGGCCTATTATGCTAATGAGTTCCTGCTGGGCGTGGCCAACTTGGGAGCCAGCCGGAACTCCGTTCCTGTGCGTTCCTGCCCCAAAATAGCCCTGAGTGATGGTAAATGTCAGCTTTGTATGTTCGGTTTCGAGGCTGACCACTGTCGGGTAGTGGGATCCTTATTATGGGATGTGCATCCAGGAATGTGGTTAGAGAATTGATCTGTAGCCAGTAGCTATGCCGCCTAAGGGAAGAGTTTTGCTTCTGATCTTGTTTTGTGTAATGCTGAGATCTGACAGGGCGTGGGTGAGACAACATAATGGGGTGTCTGGCTTGGCTTGCACAGATGGAAACGTGTCCCCAGACCCTTGCCTCTGGGAGAGGAACCCGAACCCCATCACAAGGAGAATAGAGGCTCTGAAGAAACAGCTGCACATCGAGCTGAAGGTGAAGCAGGGGGCAGAGAACATGATCCAGATGTATTCTAGCGCCCCAAAGGTGAGTCCGACTGAGCTGAAGAGGCCGAAGTGGGTGCCGCAGCAGTTCTTTACTGGACGTCGTAAAAATGCTTCTTAAAAATTAAAATGGCTTTTCGTTTTGTAGTGTTGTGGGTTTCGCATGGTACGTTTGAACGACTGTTCGTCGACGGCCGCGTCGCAGAGTCCATCTGAGCTTCTAATAGAATAAGCGAATAGGGTTTTGGTAGGATAGGAGTGTGAAATACATCAGCGTCTTTAAAACGTACCTGTGGGTGCATCAGGCCTGGCACGGTGTCTCTGCCAGGTTATCTCAGTTTGAGCCTTGCTACCTTCGCCACTCCTGGTGGGTGGAAGGCGATCCTGGTGGGCACGTGGGCTGAAGCTTAGTTGCCCCCAGACCTGGGTGGATAGAGGGAAGTTCTGGTGGAGGGGCTCGTACTGCAGGCTCTTCAAGGGCGGCCTCTGAAACAGACATCCCCGGGGCATCTACCCTGCAGGAGTCCCCCGCTCACTCCCAGGTCAGGTTTCCGTCTCCTCAGGCTCTTCCTCTGAGGCTTCCAAGTCAGAGCCCGGAGCCAGCTCAGTGGCGTCATGACAAAGGGCATCATATCGCCTATGCTAGGAGGCTGTCCTCAAGTTCCACGTGGCCAGGATGACCTCTGCTGCCTTTTTCTTCCCAGGAACGGAAGCTGCTGGCCACTGCTCAACAGATGCTGCAGGACAGCAAGACCAAGGTTGAGTTGATCCGGATGCAGATTGTGAAGGCGTCTCAGTCCTCAGGTGGCGGGGAGGATGGAGTGGATCCCATAGGTAAAGGGCTGCAGGAGACTGCTGGGCGCTTCGGAACTCCACGCCAAAATAATTCACACTTGGCATGGGGGGGGGGGGATGAAGCCTGACCCCTCTATAAACGGAAGCAAAATATATATATTTTTAAAGGGGGCGTGGAAAACGTCATAATTTATATCTGCTCCTTGCGGGGAGGTGTACATCGCTATGAAAAGCATTATAGCCCCACTCTTAAATGGCTGGAAATCTTGCTTGGCAGCCCCTTGTGGGGGTCGCCAGGCACTGATGGCATCCTTCTCAGCCTGTTTCTGCAGCCCTGAGGCCTAACCAGGAACTTGCCTGGAAGAGCAGTCTGCGCGAAATTCTCTGGATGCGGAATTCGGTGCAGCCACAACCTGTAATCACAGAATGCACCGAACCTGGCTGACCTCGTTTTCCTGTTGGTCTCTGCAGTGAGGAACGGAGGCATGATCAGCCTGCTGGACCTGCGTCTGGAGGAGCTCCGGCATCGCCTGCGGATTGAAGCCGCGGTGGCTGAAGGGGCCAAAAATGTGGTGAAGATTCTGGGCAGCAGGCGGGTGCAGGACCGTAAAGTTTTGACTGAGGTAGGCAAGGCTGGCACCTGATTTCCCATTGGCTTCACTTTAGGGTTGCCAGGTCCCTACCTTTTGGCGGTGGGGGGCTCCTGGCTCCTCTCTGGGATTTTCAAGCGCGTGCACCGCAATGACATCACCCAGAAGCGACATCAACGCACAAGGCACATCACGGGGAGATGCTCTAGCATTCACCCAAGAACTCTATGGTCACCATAGAGTTTTTGGCCAAACGCTAGAGTATCCCCCGCCCAATGTGCCCATAATGATGATGTCACCTCTGGGTGACGTCATCACACTAGGCACTTTGGGTGCCATGGAGCTCTTCAGGGGTGGGGCTCCCCTGCCTGCCCACTAGCCAGCGAGCAGATCAGGGCGCCCGAAATCGGGGGAGACCCCACCCCCATCAAGGGGATGGCAACCCTACTTCACTTAGATCTGGTAGAATCATACGAGTGCAAGGTTGCCAACGGGAGGGGTTGTAACGGCGCAGTGTCCTGGGAGAAGAATTAAAAAGCAAAATAAGACCTTGGCTACTTACAGGAAGTTCTGGCCATAGAGTTCCTGGCAATTCCTAGGTCTACCTGGAAGTGACAAGGGTAGCTCTAGCAATTGCCAGAAGCTCTGTGGTCAGAACTTCCTGTCAGCACCTGAGACCTTATTTTGCTTTGTAATTTTTCTCTCTGGATGATCACCGCCCGCCCGCCCCCCACACACCATGGCCCCGATTTTCACCTGTCAGTTAGCTGAGCATTGGCAGGCAATGGCTGCGATGGCTTAAGAGGTCTCCCTCCACATGTGGGCAAATGGGAACCCTGCGCCAAGTGTGTGTTGCATTTAAAGAAAAGGGACGTTGGAGTGTCGTTCAGGGATGTTGGAGTGTCGTTCAGGGTGCCGGCAGTGGTGGTCCTGAATGCCTAGCCTCTTGTTTTATTTTCACCTTGTTCCTTGTTCCAGGCCCAGGCTTGCTTGCAAGAATCTGCCCAGAAAATCGACCTGTTGCGCCTCTCCCTTGAGCAACTCCTGGGCGAACTTTCCCCTGATCACCCCAAGAGGGCGCTCATAAAACAGGAGCTGGTGAACACGTTCTGTCTGGGCGCTCAGCAAGGCGGCGGGCAGCCATTCACTACTCTGATCAAGCCCACGGCCCTTACGGGTACTGCTTCAATTCCGGGTGGTTTGGGGGTGGGTGGGAGAGGAGGGGGCCCCTCTGTGGCAGTCGAGTGCTCAGCATCCCCCGTGCCTGCAGTTGTGTTCTGGCTAAAACAAGAGCCCCACTGGATTGAGTGGTCACACATTAGGACCTAGGAGGCCGGGGTTCAAATCGCTGTTCAGCCATGAAGCAGCCTGGCCGAGTTTGGACTAGCCTCTTTCCCCCCTTGATCTTCACCTACTGCACACGGCCGTTAGCATAAAATCGGAGAGGGCTCCATGGATGAAGAGCAGGATTAAAAAAAAAAAACACGTTTAATTTTTTTGTTTGACAGTATAAACGATAGAACAAGAAAAACCAGAGCCGTCGATAAATGCACGAGAACATCAGAAGAGCCTTGCTGGATCAGACCAGTGGTCCATCCAGTCCAGCATCCTGTCTCATCCAGTGGCTAACCAGTTACCGTAGAGGGCAAACAACAGGGCTGAGGCTGAAGCCCTCCCGTGATATTGCCTCCCGGCACTGGAGTCCCAGGGGTTTATTGCCTTTGGACGTGGAGGTTCCCTTTAGTCGCTGTGGCTAGTAGAGAGATCTATGCTGCTTAAAACTGTCTAATCTATATATCTAATAGTGAAGTGGCCCCGTCTGTGCGGATATCTAAATCCGCACTTCGGGGGCACCTGGGGGGGAGGGAGAGGTTTGTGCACACGTGGGGCAGTCCCCACGTGTGCACAAAAAATCCTAAATGTTGGGAAAAAATTGGGGGGAGGTTTAAATCCCCCCGAAACTCACAGAGCGTCCCCTGCGCATACGCAGGGAACGCTCGGCGACTGCCGCCGCCCCTTGGGAGGGAAGTGGCGAGCGGGTAGCAGGGAGGGGGGGCCAGAGCAGCGAGGGCCGATCGGCTCGGAGCCGGTGGGGGGTGGGGAGAGAGAGAGAGTCGCGAGGCCCGGCGGCTCCACACCGCGCGGGCCTTTAGAGAGAGAGAGAGAGAGAGAGAGAGAGACACACCGCGCGGGGGGGGGAGAGAGAGAGAGAGAGAGAGAGAGAGAGAGAGAGAGAGGTTCGGAGCCGGGGGGGTGGGGAGAGTACGCAACATTTTGTTGCGGGTCTCCACTTGTCCTCTTCTAAAACTGTCTGTGCCATCGGCCGTCACTATATTCTCCGGCAGCGAATTCCACATTTTAATTGCTTGTTGTACTGTAAATATCTATTCCCCTCCCACCCGTTATGTTGATGGTTCACCTCACTACTAAACTAGCAGAACGGTTATATCGGTATAAACACAATTCTCCAAACCCCCCCCGGTTTAGAGACTTCTCTTCCAAGGAAGCACTCACTGGCCACGATTCCTCCATAACAACACACAATCTTCTTTTTGTCTCCCTTGCTGAATCCTGACTTATTGCAACAGTTTGGTGATAATTACAAGGTCCCAAACGCTCAGAATCCAATCCTTGTCTGATGGGAAAGAGCAGGATTAAAACAAATAACGTTTGATAGGTAGAGTTGCCAACCTCCAGGTGGTGGCTGGAGATCTCCTGGGATTACAACTTGGCTCAGACTGAGCCGGCTGAAACTGAATCCGACGAAGACGGAGGTCCTGTGCTTCAGTCGGGGCGGGTCAGGGGTGGGAATCCCACTCCTGACCTTCGGTGGGGCATCACTGGGTGCCAGGGCCGGAGGCTAGGAGTTTGGGAGTGCTCCTGGATGCCTCCTTAGCGATGGAGGCCCAGATAGCAGCCACTGCTAGGTCAGCCTTTTACCATATTCGGCTGATTAGGCAGTTGGTTCCCTTCCTTGACTGCAGTGACCTGACAACAGTGATCCATACGATGGTCATCTGGATACTAGGCTACTGTGATGCTCTCTACATGGGGCTGCCCTTGTCGCAAATTCAGAAGCTGCAGCTAGTGCAGAATGCTGCGGCCAGGCTTCTGATGGGCCTTCCCAGATGGGAGCACATCCAGCTTGTGCTGAAGACATTGCACTGGTTGGCATACTGAATCCGCTTCAAGGAGCTAGTACTTACCTTTAAAGCCCTGTATAACCAAGGTCCGACATACCTGTGGGACCGCCTTTCCCCCTACATACCCCAGAGAGCACCACAATCGGGGTCTCAAAATCGACTGGCCCTCCCGGGTCCCAAAGACGCCAGGCTCGTTGCTACCAGGGCCTTTTCAGTGGTGGCTCCATACTGGTGGAATGAGCTTCTGGAAGAGATCAGGGCCCTGCGGGATCTTAAACAGCTCCGCAGGGCCTGCCAGACGGAGCTCTTCCACCAGGCCTTCAACTAAGGAGTTGCCTTCACTACTACCACCAACAATCATAGTTATAGGTCCTGGCCCTTAATTTTGACATCTGGTCTGTGCTTAGGAAGATCACTGAGCTGAAAACTGTTGTCTGTATGTACTCTTCAGTACGCCATCTGAAGTATCTAATGAGATATGCCCAGCACTTTATGATTTTAGGATTTTATGGGTCTATTTGTAACTGAATTACAAGTGATGCTCTGTCATCTGGGGCAAGTGAGCAGAGGTCCATCAGTGGCTATTAGCCACAAGGTATAGACAGGGACTCTGGGGCGAGTGATGCTCTGTCTTCTTGGTGCTTGGGGGGGTCAACAGTGGGAGGGCTTCTAATGTCCTGGCCCCACTGGTGGACCTCCTGATGGCACCTGGTATTTCTGGCCACTGTGTGACACGGAGTGTTGGACTGGATGGGCCTTTGGCCTGATCCAACATTGGCATCTCTTATGTTCTTATGTAATTGTTCAAATGTTTTTATATGGATTTGAATGGTTATTTGTGCACCAATCAATGTAAGCCGTCCTGAGCCTGTTTCCGGGGAGGGCGGAGTACAAATTAAATTAATAATAATAACAACAACAGCAACTGATCTCCAGAGGATAGGGGTCAGCTCTCTGGAGAAAATGGCTGCTCCGGACAGTGGACTCCATGGCATTATACCCCTTTGAAGTCTATCCCCAAACCCCGCCTTCCTCAGGCTCCGCCCCCAAAATCTCTAGATATATCCCAGCCCGGAACTGGAAATTGTATAGCTGGGATTTGCAAATTCTTTGAGCACTTTCTTAGATGTAAATCCCATTGAATTTAGTAGGATTTAATTCTGAGTAAGTGTGTGTAGGGATGAGGCAGAAGGTTATTAAGGGGTAGTGCGGTGCAATGGCTAGTGTTATGCTTTGATATGTCAGACCCAGGGTCAAAATAATGCCACTGGTTCGTATTTACAAAGCACTTTTGAATGTTTAAGACACTTCGCATACATTGGCTTAATAAACCTTTATATTAGCCCTGTTAAGTAGGGCATTGCGGTTATCCCCATGTTACGGATGGGGAGATCGGAAGCTTATCGGCACACAGGGAAAGCAGATGGATGCCCCTGCCTAAGGGTGGTCTTTGGTTGGAGATTTTTTGTTGTTGTTCAGTCGCACAGTCGAGTCCGACTCTTTGTGACCCCCTGGACTATATCACGCCAGGCCCTCCTGTCTTCTGTTGTCCTCCGGAGTTTGCTTAATTTCATGTTCGTTGCATCGATAACACTGTCTAATCCTTTGCCGTCCCCTTCTTCTTTGACCTTCAGTCTTTTGGTGGCCAAAGTATTGGAGCTTCAGCTTCAGTATCTGGCCTTCCAGGGAACAGTCAGGGTTGATTTCTTTTAGGATTGACTGATTTGATCTCCTTGCAGTCCAAGGGACTCTCAAGAATCTTCTCCAGCACCATAATTCGAAAGCCTCTATTCTTCGGCACTCGGCCTTCCTTATAGTCCAACTCTCACAGCCATACATTACTACTGGGAATACCATCACTTTGGATGGGAAAGGAGCAGTTGCTACAAGCCAGGAGCGGATCTGAGCTTGCGCTGTTGCTACTGTGCTGAGGCAGGTGCGTGGGGTGTTTATGAACAGGTCCTCCCTTCCCTGGGAGCTGAGTCTTCCAAGACTCACAGCTCCTCCCATTGCTTTTACAGGAGCTGCAGCCTGGCACTCCTCCTTCGCTCCTGCATATCCAGCCTCTGGCGTGCCCTGTGTCTCTGGGGCACTCGGGAGAACTAGGTAGGGAGTCTGGCCTCGGGGGCGTCTTCAACTGGGGGTGCTGGGCCAGGCTCAGGATCGGCCTCTCCTTCTGGCTGCACCTCCTGTGTAGCTGCTGGGGACTCTTCCTCCTCAGGTGTTGTTGAGGGTTCTTCTTCTGGGCTGACTCCAGAGGAGGCTGGGCTGCTCCCTGCCTCTTCCCCATCTGAGGAGGAGTCCGCCTCAGCAGAGCCAGGACCCACGACAGGGCCGCAAAGAGTCGGACTTGACTGTGCGACTGAACAACCAAAACACTTGTGAAGAAGAGCCTCTTTGAAGAAGAGCCTCTTTTTGTTGTGTGTGTGTGAAGTGCCATCAAGACGCTTCCCACTTACGGTGACCTTATGAATCAATGACCTCCCAAACATCCTTTCATTAATAGCCTTGCTCAGGTGATGTAAACTGAGGGCCTTGACGGAGTCCATCCATCTCATGTTGAATCTTCCTGTTTTCCTGTTGCCTTCCAACTTTTCCTGGCATTATTGTCTTTTCCGGTGACTTCTCATGATGTAACCCAAGTACAACAGTCTCAGTTTAGTCATTTTAGCTTCTAGGGAGCGTTGGGGCTTGATATGATCTAGAACCCACTTATTTGTCTCTTTGGCAGTCGATACATAGGCAGTTCCTTCATCAGCGTGACTCTATCCATTAACACTACCAAGCAAATTTTCTGCGACCGAATCTCATAGCTTGGTAGCATCCCTAGCTTCCAATCGTTTGCAAATAACATTCTTGCAGCTACAAGCAAATGTGAACGTTCAGTACTAAGTATTTTTAGGCACCTGAACATCATTATAACCTAAAAGGCACATCAGTGGTGTAAGCTGTATATTTATAGTATGTTTTATCCTCTTCTGAATCATAGTCCAATACTTGTTCTGCAGAACTACAGTCCCCCACCACATATGGAGAGGGTTCTGTTAGCTGTTCGGGCCTAGATCAGGGGTTCCCAACTTGTACTTCTGGAACTTTGAGAGGGGAGTGGTGAGCACCACCCCAAAATGGCTGCCTGTCAGACTCCTGGGCAAGTTATTCTCAACAACACTCTCTTTGGCAGTGAGATGTTTACTGAGTTATAAGCAAGTTCCAGGTTTTAACAGTACTGTGTCAGATCTGAAGATTTTGGCGGGTACAATCAAAGATATAGGCAGGGGTCATTTCCTGCAGGAGCTCACAGGAGCGGAGCTCTGGTAGTAAAGAGCCCAGGGGGCGGGCACATGCAACAAGCCCCACCCCCACTGCTCCCAGCAGCCCTCAGTCAGAGCAAGAAGCAGCTAGGTAAGTTGCAGAGCCTTCCCCGGCCCCCCACCACACCACGTCCCTCGTCTTCTTTTAAGACCAAGGTTTATTCAGGTACAAGCTCTCCCTCCTCTGCGAGGACAGATCTGTACATTCCCCCCCAATAGCTAGCAATCCAAAACAGTCCAGTGGAGCCTGAGCGGTGGGTGTTTCCTTCTGACACACTTGTCAGGGGGCGTGGCATATGCAGGGGGTGGTGTCAGGGGGCGTGGCATATGCAAGTAAGGTATGCTAATGATTTATGCTAATGAGCTCCTGCACCTTTTTTTCTACGAAATGACCCCTGGATACAGGTAAATCAAATGTAACCCCTCCTAAGACCCACTCATACGTCACATCCACTCCGCCTAGCTCCAGTGTCTCTACCCTCCCCCTTCACCTGGGCAAATATATGATCCCGTTATCTACTAAGCAAGCTGGCACCAGAAGTCTCAAGGACATTCCTCTGGGAATAAAAGAAAGGCTTCTTTGGAAGAGTTACGCTTCAAAGATAGTGCAGCCACACACGCCACACTCACACCCCCTACCTAAGGGAGTCCCTTCCCCCAGCATCTATGGCAAACTGAGCAGAGCAAGGTTTGACACTACCACAGGAGGTGGAGTCAAACCCAAAATGGCTGCCTCTAGAGGCAGAGCCAAACGCTTTGAGTCCTGGGTACCGGAGAAAAACGGAGTAGAAATGCTTTAAATCAATCCATCAGTGGCCCTTTCATACTCTGATTTTGTGATACAACTAGGTGATTGGATGGGCTTTAGGCACCTTTTGAACCTAATGTGGTCTGTGAACATGCTGAAATGTTGCCACTTGAGTCATCTTCTTTCTCTTGTCCCCCATCTCTCCCTTGACCTTCCCTCCCACCCATCTTTGACGGCATTTCTTAGGGATGCTGGAAGTGCGCTTGTTGGGCTGCCAGGATCTTCTGGAGAGGGTGCCAGGCCGTTCCCGAGTGGCCAGCTCGACACCCAACTTTGTGAGCTCTGCTGATTTGAAGCCCTTGACCCGGACGTGGGCTGGCGTGAGCATCCATGGCCGTGGGGCTGCCACAAAACATATTCGGAACGAGGAACCGGGTAGTAAGTTTGCCGAATCGGGTTGGGTTTGCCTGGCGGTGTCTGTTCTGAGTTTGCGGCTGGCTGGGCTGGCGATGTGTTTTCAGGGGTGGCCTGATGGGGAAGGAGGGGGGAAACGAGGGGTGTTTATCGACTAACATAATTGCAGCCTGGGTGGGGACAGCAACAGGTAGGATTCCCAGTTTCAGGTTGGGAAATTCCTGGAGATTTTGGAGGTGGCCCCAGAGGAGGGTGGGATTTGGGGAGGGGAGGGACTTCAGTGGGGTATCGTGCCGTAGAGCCCACCTTCTGAAGCCACCATTTTCTCCAGGTGAGCTGATCCTTGTTGCCTGGAGATCAGTTGTAATAGTGGGAGAGCTCCAGCCCCAACTTGGAGGTTGGCAACTCTAGCAACAGCGGAAGAAGAAGAAGAAGAAGAGATTGGATTTATACCCCGCCCTTCACTTGGAGTCTCAGAGCGGCTTACAAACTCCTTTCCCTTCCCCTCCCTCCAACAGACACCCTGTGAGGTAGGCGGGGCTGAGAGAGCTCTTGACACAAACTGCTTTTTTTTCAAGGACAGCTGTGCCAGAGCTTGTGACTGGCCCAAGGTCACATCAGCAGCTGCAAGTGGAGGAGTGGGGAATCAAACCCAGTTCTCCCAGATTAGAGTCCGCACACTTAACCACGACACCAAACTGGCTTTGGCCTCTGGTTCCTGCTTTGTGGGCTTCGGGGGGGGGGATTTGATCAGCCACTGGTGGGGAACATGGGTTGCTGGATAAGATGGGTCATTCATCTGATTCGGCAGGGCACCTGTATAGGAGGAAGTCAATGCTACTTCCAGGCTTTGAGTGGTAATCCCTGCTTAGGTTTGTTGGAAAAGGACTTCTCCATGGAGAGAGAGCAGTACAGATGGCCAACCATTCCAAAGTCTTTTATTGGCATATAAATAAAGATCCAGTAATCTAATACATAGGATTATGTATACATAGGAGCTGCGGTGGCTCAAGTGGTTAAGGCGCTGAACTGCGGGCTGTGGAAGGTCGGTAGTTCAGCAGTTCGAGACCCGAGTGTGCCGCAAGACGGGGTGAGCTCCCGTCTCTAGTTCCAGCTCCTGCCAACCTAGCAGTTCGAAAGCAAGAAATTGCAAGTAGATAAATAGGTACCACTTCGGTGGGAAGGGAACAGCGTTCCGTGCGCTGTGGTGTTTAGTCATGCCGGCCACATGACCACAGAAATGTCTTCGGACAGCGCTGGCTCTTCGGCTTTGAAACGGAGATGAGCACCGCAACCCTAGAGTCAGATTCGACTGGCTTTCGAGCAAGGGAACCTTTACCTTTACCTTCAATCTAAATACAGAATCATGCAGAGAAAAATTAAAATCGCAAAGCAACATCAGAGAGTAACATCATACAGTAACATCATAATAAAACCTAATTCATAATGTCACTTATCAGGCCGTAGGACCATGGCATTGCAGATAAACTTTGCTACTATTTCAGTTATTTCTGTATCTGGATTATCGAGCAAGAAAAGGAGCTTAAAATCATCAGGGGTCTCTAAAAATTGGCCTAATATGGGATATAGAAGATCCCGACGGGACGCCAAATAGAGAGGGCACTGGAGGAGGGCATGGGCAACAGTTTCAACACAGTCCTTCATACGAGGAGAAGCACCTGCTAGGATAGGGAGCCCCTTGGAATCTGCCAGATAAGACTGCTGAAGGAAGACCATTAAATCTAGCCAAGGAGATGGCTCTACGCAAATGTGGAGCTATGAGTTGACAGAGGTATACTGCTGGAAGATTTGCATTAGGAACAATCCCCAGATTTAAGGGAGAACAGGTTCTGTTAGCCAGGCTATAAAGAGTTTGTAGCTCTGATCTCCACTGTTGCTGTTTTCTCCCATCTCCATGTCACTGTGTTGTTTTTATTTATGAAAATATTTTTATCTCACCCTTCTGTCCAAAGTTGCCAAAGGCAGCACACAAAGGGGGGAAATAGCGTACAATAACTTACAAAACACTCACATGTTGTAAAACTAAGCAGGGCTTCTTAGAGGCCCCATAGGCATAACATTTCAGAAAGAAGTCACATCAGGAAAAGTGAATACAGTAGAAAAATCTACCTTCCTCGGTCGGCACAAGTGATCAGTCTTCACATAACACCCCCCTTCCCCCAGCCTCCTGCAATGGTTGGCCATCAAACAGAAAGCAAGTGAAGAAGTCAAGCAGACCTTGGCAGCACATTCCATTGCTTGGGAGTCACTACTGAAAAGGCCCTGTCATTTCGGATAGTGGCAGGTGTGGGAGAGCTAAACCGGATAATCTCAGTGCTGAGGTTCAGGACTATCAAGGGCGGGGGAGACTAAAGGGGGCAGGTTTCCAGGCCTTCTGAGGGCCCAGCTAGCCAGGCAAGGCATCAGGTGTGTGGCTGTGACTGCAGCCACGGGTATAAATTCAAGGAGAGGAACCTTGGCCCAGTCACTCTGTCCAACCTACCTTACAGACCGTTGTTAGCACGAGGGCGTGTACACTGTCCTCCGGAGCGCATTATGAGGAAGGGAGGTCTGTATGTGGAATTGGGGGGATTACAGTCCTTATGGAGACACATGAGTGACCAGCCGTCAAGAGACAAATTAGGTATTTAACGCTAACAGCAAGTTTTGATTTATTTCCATAGGACAGGACTGGGGGCTGAGTAGGGTAAGGGTCAGCAGGGGATCTCTGAGGTACCATTTTGGCAGTCTTGCCTGTGGGGTTTTGTTTGTTCCCCGCCCTCTCTCCAAGGCGTCTAGGGTGGTGTACATGCTTCTCCTCTCCCCTTTTATCTGCCTAACAACCCTGTGAGGTAGGTTAGTCAGAGTGTGGGACTGGCCCAAAGAGCTTCATGGTTGGCTGAGCACTCAAACCCGGAGGTCTCAAGCCCTAGTTGGGTCCATCAACTGCAGTGTTGGTCAGCTTTTGGTGGAGGAGGGCAGGACTGCTGAATCACCGAATCTCAAGAATAGCTGCCAGTATGATTTGCCAGTCCTGGCTGTGCAGGACAGGCGATGGGCCCAGAATGTTTGTCACTGCTGCTGGATTGTTGAGTTTGGTTCTCCGAGAGTCAGTTTGGTGTAGTGCTTAGGAGCGCGGACTCTGTTCTGGGAGAACTGGGTTTGATTCCCCACTCCTCCACATGCAGCTGCTGGTGTGACCTTGGGTCAGTCAGAAGTTCTTTCAGAGCTGTTCTCTCAAGGGCAGTTCTCGAGAGAGCTCTCTCAGCCCCACCTTCCTCACAGGGTGTCTGTTGTGGGGAGGGGAAGGGAAAAGAGATTGTAAGCTGCTTAGACTTCTTTGGGTAGCGAAGGGTGGGGTATAAATCCAATCTCTTCTCCTCCTCCCCCAACAACCCCAACTGCGTCTAATTCAGGAGTCTTTGGGTGACCAACAGCAGGGATGCCTCCAATCTCCTCCCTAGTTATTTAAACCTTCTGAAATCTGCTGCGTAACTTTCCCTGACTTCCTCCCCTGTTGCAGGTGAAGTTCTTGCTCTGCTCAAGGTGGACAACAAAGTGGTTGGGCATACCAACTGGGGACCAATGAACAACCAAGCTTGGGACCAAACCTTTATCTTTGAACTGGATCGAGTAAGCATCTGTGTATTTCTGGCTCCTATAATTAGGGATCCCTTATGTTTTCAATCCCTTTAAATGCGCCGCCATAGATCTGTTTATGTCTAGAGTGCCTGCGGGAGAACCTGGATGTGCAGAGAAATAGGCACACTACTCTGGAAAGAGTATTCTCCATGTTGTGGTGCCACATACGCTATTTGGCCCAAAGCCAGTGAGTAGTTTAACGGCTGTGCAGGGATTTGAATCCAGGTCACTCGTGACAAAGTTCAGCACTCTTGTTAGAAGTGGGCAATTTTTCCTTTGGCCCGTGGGCCACAACTGGGTCTCTGCCCACTTGTGAGGTGGGCATGTGGCTGCTCTTGTTTTGCCGCACTGAAAGTGCACTGGCAGGATGTCTATTTCAGAGGCCTCAAGAGTGGGTGGAGGCCCAGGGCCGGCTTTCTTTGCTGATCTTCATAGCACTCCACCCTCGAGCCACTCCCCCTTTTTTCGGTGTGCAGTGAGTGGCCCACTCCAGTGCTGGGCTTCAGTGGACCGATGGTGCTTACAAATTGCTAAGCAGCTCTTGGACTACAAAAAATGTCTCCTGGGGGTGATTGCCTACCTCTGGATTACATCAAGACTTAGAAACCTGTAGGAGAACACTTCAACCTTCCAGGACATTCGACAAATGACCTCAAAGTAGTTTTATTACAAAGGAACTTGAGGAACCAAATGGAAAGGGAAGTTGCTGAATTACAAGTTATTACAACACTTGGAACAAAAACTTCCCCAGGACTCAACAGGGATATTGGTTTTCTTATCTCATTACATATGCTAACTCATTCAGTCCTCACATATGTATTCTCAGCAAGGAGGATGATACATCCGCTGTATTTCTTTTTCATAATGGCATATTAGAATACTGAATGTAATGCAAGGAATATTGGGATGTTTTGCCGACATACCACTACACCCATTTCTTTTAAAATGCTGTTAAGTTACCTCTATGCCTGAGAGGAGATGAGTGGTGAGTCTCAATTTTCATCCCACAATTAGAAAAGATGCCTTTACACACTTACCCCCTAGGTTGACATTTTTATTGCTTTGGTGTCCTTTTCTCCCCTTAATTAAATCAAAACAACTGTTGACCTTATGACCTTCGCTTATTATTTAGTTTTGTTTTTTGCATAACTTAAAACATCTTCATGTTACATGTAAAATTGCTGTTCAGCTTGTCTGTAAGTTTGAATTCCATCTTCCATTACAGTGTATTTGAAAAAGTGTGCCACACATACGAAAGCTCATACCTTGAATAAACCTTTGTTGGTCTTAAAGGTGCCACTGGACTCTAAATGTGTTCATCATGCTGACTCGTATGCCTTCTGTTCTCTCGCTCCCATGCGTCTGTCTGTCTTTGTCTTTCCACATCCCTCCTTTTACCACTGGTCCTCTGCAAACACAGTATTACCATCTCTGGCCCATTACCGTGTCTTCTGTTTTTCCGTGCTCCCCATTGTTCGGCCTGCTTCACGTCCCAGCCCCTGTCTGGCTGCTCTTGTTGGTGTATTTAAAATGATCAATTACAAAGCAGTCGCCTCTTTACTCTCTCTTGTTAAGCGACGCACCTTTACTGTTTACCCAAGACCGTCTGGGGCAATGCTCTCTCTAAGCTATGGGGTCGTGTGAACAAAAATTCTACTTTGTGAGCTGCTGGCATTAAAGTTGTGAGCAGGTGATTTGGTGACTGCATAAATTAGTTTGCTCTGGAGCCATCCTTCCTGAGCTAAGACAAAGATATGTGAGCCAGAGGCTAAAAAACTGTGAGCTAGCTCACACTCTCCTGCCAACCTAGCAGTTCGAAAGCAAGAAATTGCAAGTAGATAAATAGGTACCACTTCGGTGGGAAGGTAACAGCGTTCCGTGCGCCTTGGTGTTTAGTCATGCCGGCCACATGACCACGGAAACGTCTTCGGACAGCGCTGGCTCTTCAGCTTTGAAACGGAGATGAGCACCGCAACCCTAGAGTCGGATTCGACTGGCTTTCGAGCAAGGGAACCTTTACCTTTACCTTTTTAGCTCACACTAACTGATCTTAGAGGGAACACTGGGCACCAGTTAATTCCATTCACTTGCAGTCCAAATGTGGCTTAAGGGCTCCCAGTTGCTGACCTGCTTCTCTGTGGGTAACAGAATAACATTCTCCATATTTCCTGTTCTCCTTTCTCTGCAGTCCCGAGAGCTGGAGATCTCCGTTTATTGGCGCGACTGGAGAGAGCTGTGCGCGGTGAAATACTTGCGCTTGGATGACTTCCTTGATAATGAACGCCACGGCATGTGCCTCTCCCTTGAACCTCAAGGGCTGCTTTTTGCAGAGGTAAGGGGACGATGGTGCTTTCTCCTTTTTTGGGGGGGTAGCCCCTTTCAGCAGGGACTTCCTTTCAGTTTGCAATTCAAGGAATGGGATTGGGCACGAGATTCATCTGCTGCTGAAGCTAAGCAGGTTTGGCCCTGTGAGCTGTCTTAAAAGGAAGAAGAGAAGAGATTGGATTTATACCCCTCCCTTCACTACCCAAAGGTGTCTCAGAGCGGCTTACAAACTCATTTTCCCTTCCCCTCCCCACAACAGACACCCTGTGAGGTAGGTGGGGCTGAGAGAGCTCTTGACAGAAACTGCTCTTTTTCAAGAACAGCTCTTATCAGAACTATGGCTTGCCCAAGGTCATCCAGCAGGTGCAAGTGGAGGAGTGGGGAATCAAACCCAGTTCTCCCAGATTAGAGTCTGCGCACTTAACCACTACACCAAACTGGCTGTCTGGGAAACATAAGTAAACAATTGGGAAGGAACAACAGGGTGAAATTGTGATGCCTAAAATATGCTAAAGGGGGTGTCTTAACAGTTTTAATATCTCATCTTCAACTCAGAGTTAAGTGTAATAAACCTCTCTGCTTTGTGTACAGAAGATCACAGGTTCAGTCCCTGTTATGCCCAGTCAGAGAATTTCAGGTTGCAGGACTAATATGCCAGACTCTGCCTAGAAAGAGCTGAGGTTCTGTTGGTTAAGGAAGAAGGGTTAGCCAGATCTCTCTCTCTCTCATTTTGGATTTAGAAGAAGAAGAAGAAGAGATTGGATTTATACCCCGCCCTTCACTTGGAGTCTCAGAGCGGTTTACAAACTCCTTTCCCTTCCCCTCCCCACAACAGACACCCTGTGAGGTGGGTGGGCCTGAGAGAACTCTGACACAAACTGCTCTTTTTCAAGGACAGCTGTGCCAGAGCTTGTGACTGACCCAAGGTCACATCAGCAGGTGTAAGTGGAGGAGTGGGGAATCAAACCCGGTTCTCCCAGATTAGAGTCTGCACACTTAACCACTACACCAAACTGGCTCTGCCCTTTTTCCCAAGGAGTTCAAGGCAGCCTGCATGGCTCTCCCTCCATATTTTATCCGTAAAAAGCCCTGTGGGAGAGAATGACTGGCCCAACGTAACCCACTGAGCTTCATGACTTGGGGGGGGGGGGCAGGGAAGGGACTTTGTCCAACACTCACCACTATACTGGACTGGATCTAGATGGAGTTGTGTCGTCCCCAAAATATGAAGTTGCCGTTTGGGAGGGAGGATAATTAGATTGGCTGGTTCATTTGGCTGCTGAGATCTTATTTGTGAGAACACACAGAACAGCCGTGATTTTTATTATGCCAAAAAGAAATATCCACAGACTTTAAAATCTTATCCAAGATCCAGTTTACTTGGAGCAATTTCAATTCCTCAAGAATCATTCATAGTGTAAGACAGAAACTCCGTCAAGGGTTGTGCTCCCCCAGCCCAATTTGAGAAAGCACACGGCAGTCTTGTAGAGGAGAATCAGAACTTGTACTTTATTGATCAACAAAGGAGGGAGGTGCAGATCCAATAAGGTTTGGGACCCCACAGCTGTCCCTAAGGTTACAATGGGAGACATAGGGTTTTATACCCCCTATGACAGCTAGAAATAAATCACAATTATTGGTTCCATCAAACTTTGTCACATATCCGTCACACCATTCCGATTGGGCTCGAACCTGTAGGCTGGATTTTCTCAGGCAAAAATGTACCTCCTTCAGCTAAACAATAGGCCTTCTTTTCATTCTGTGAGATTCTAAAAAAGTATCTAATTGTAACAGATATCAGTACATCATGCAGTGTACTTCATCTAATGCGAGCAAACTGACATCAGGAGCATGCGCAGTTACAACTGGCCACTGTAAGCAAGGTCACCGTAGCATGATTGCCTGTCAGCATTTAGTCATTTTACCCAGTATGCTTTTAAACAATGAACCAAAAGTGAATATTTGAATATATGTTCATGATTGATTTCAGTCACTGTGATTAGAATCATCAAAGGCACTTAACATATGCACCATGGAAGCGTTAAGAGCACCTACTAAGTTAAACCTGTTAGGCAGTGGCAGAGTACAAAGTGGTTCATAAAATGCGTACAACAATAGTGATGCCATCAACACAACGGACTATGCATATCAAGTCTCGTTTCGTTCACAAACTTTGTCAGAGTGTGTGGCATTGAAATTTACACATAGTTAATCTATTCAGCAAGCAATATGATCAAATCTCTTAGTAACATTCATCAAACCCACTAGTGTAACTCACCGTCCATCCCGTGATCTCTCTCTGGTGTTGCGAGATCTTATTTGTGGCAGATAGTGGTTTCATAACTTGGTTAAGTTGGGTTGCCAGATGTACTCTTCCTTGAAGATCTGGCCAAGTTATCCATACTTGGATAGCGTCCCTGCTTGACTACTGCAGCACACTCTACATGGGGCTGTCCTTGAAGGCTGTTTGGAAGCTACATTTGATGCTAAAAACAGAATCCCCAGATAGGAGGAGGTCTTAACTTGCTCAATATTGAACCCATTAACTAAACATTGTAATGGGCTCAATCTCCTGGTTTCGGTGAAGACTAAGATCTTGGATTTCTGATAGTTGATCACCAAGCTTTCTCGCAGGCAATAACTGGAGAAAATTCACAAGGCCCCTTGCAAACCAACTCTAGTGCAGGACAAAATAACAGCATCATCCACATAGAGCAGGACAGGAACACTCAGCTAGTTTCAGTGGATGACAGCAGTCGTCAAAAATTGATGCTAGATCATTTAAGAATAAATTAAATTAAAAAGGAGCTAGTAAACATCCCTGTCGTTCCCCCTTTTTCCAAGTTAAATTAGTTTCTTAGATGTCCTTCATACCCATAGCACACTTAGGCAGTCGAATCCAAATATAACTGTTGCATGAACCTCAAAAGCCTTTTATCAATAGTCATTTGGCTACGTTTACTCCACAGCTTGGAGTGGTTTATAGAACCAAAGGCTCCTTTGAGGTCAATAAAGCCCACATATCACTGCCCCCCTTAACAGATGAATATTTATCAGCCAAATGATATAGGACTAAACAATGGCCATGCGTTGAAGAGCCCCACTAAAAACCCATCTGCTCATGGCCTAATACAGCTTCCGATTGCATCCATTCCATAAGCTTCTTAAGTAGGTAAGAAGAGTACGGCTTTCTTAATGAAGAAAGAAGGCTGATCGGTCGATAACAGCTCGGATCCAGTCTGGACCCCTTTTTCAATACTGTAACTGAATATCTCCATGAACCAGGCATCTGCCCAGTTGAATTAGTTAAGGTAAGAATTGGGGCCAGTACTGTAGCCCACCATTGGGCTTTTCCCAGTCTTAGTTCTTTAATGAGACAAGTAACTTCCATGATTGACACAGCCCAAAGAGCTGCAAAATCAAGAGGCATGATAGCTGAAGATGAACTATGTTTCTGGGTATAACTTGAAGGGCTGTGTTTTATTTTGCTTTTAAAGCTTGAACAGATTGGGACCTGTATGCCTAAAAGCCTGCCTCTTTGTCTTCAGATATTTATCAAAAGGCCCGTTGCCTCTCTTTGGACAGGGCCTTCTCTGTGGTGGCATCTTGTATGTGGAACTTTCTCCTTTGCTTAGGACTTCCATGAATTTTAGACTCCAGGCCTTCTCTTCAACGTTGTTGGCTGGTGTTTTAAACTTTGAAATTCGGCTTTAGTTGTTTGTTTTTTTGTTTGCTGCCATTTTATAATGTGGTGGCTTATTTCCCACCATTTTTTTCTGCTGCCATTTATTGCTTTGGTGTTTAGTTGTGACCATATGTTTCATCTATTTTTGCAAACTGGAAAGCTCATTTGCTACGAGGTGACTTATTAATAGTTAATACTTAGAAACAAAAATAGATAAATTCCTCCACAGGTAACGTTCAGCAACCCCGTGATTGAGAGGCGCTCCAAGCTGCAACGTCAGAAGCGCATTTTTCCCAAACAAAAAGGTTAGTGGGGGCTTGGTGGATGGGCAGCCACACCTGTAAGAGCATGTATGTCCAGGTCACTGGTTCATCTTGTATTTCATTTGATTTTTATCCTGCACCTTCCTCAGCAATCGGGGCTTGGGGAGGTTAACAACATCAATATAAAACATAAAATACAAACGTTCTACAAAACAATTTATAGAATCTGGCATGAGAATCTGAGAAGCCGATAGTGGGCTCAGTAAGATTGCCTCAACGGACTGCCTGGAGGAATAATTCCATCTTACAGGCCCTGCAGAACCTAGAGGTAGAAAAAGAGGTGCAGGAGCTCATTAGCATAACTCATTAGCATAACTTATTTGCATATGCCACACACCCTGACATCACTGGAAGTGTGTCAGAAGGCAACACCCAGCGCTCAGGCTCCACTGGAATGGAGGCGGAACAAAGAACCGGGGGGGGGGGGGGTTATTACAGGAGAGACAGTCCTTATGTGGTCACAGTGCCTCCTTTGGGAGTCTGAATTACTTTCCAGTTACGCTCCAGGGGTTCTTTGGAAACCACCTGGGGATTCCTCAGTGAGCAAGCTGGCAAAGATGGATGATATTCTGTTGCTCTGCATCTATTCATGACCCAGGACTTGGGCATCTCAAGATCCGTGTGCTCCCTGTATGAAGCTATGTTAGCTCACCTTTGGGTTGCATTGGACTTTCAGCAACTTTCCCGGGTTTCTCTTCTGCTCAGTGTAGAGTCCTCTCTGTCATAGGACCAATTCTATGGACCAGCCTACCAGAGGAGGTCTCATGAGCACAGTCCCTGCCTGTTTTGGTTGGGAAGTCTTCTGTCCTTTTCCACGGGGCTTTTAGTGGAGGTTACGGTTTCTTTGAGCTTTTACTGAGGACAGCAGGAGGGCTGAAAAAGCATTTGTTCTTTTGAGGATATATTTCTGGATCGGTGGTTTTCGTGGTTTTATTGCATTCTTCTCTATTGGCATTTAGTTAGCCACTGAAAGTCCCTAGAGACGGGACAGAAATAATTTCTCAAATAACCAATAAGACTATTTCACCCTTCTGTCTCGCCTTGCCTCAAGCCAGGCTCTGAGACTGCAAAGTCTGGGTGTGGGGAAGGGATCGGGGGGGGGGGAATCTGTGGGGAAAAGCTGGTGAACTTTGGGATTGTAGGGCCGTCGTTAAGTACACACTTTTCATCTGTGCACATAGCATGCGCTCTGCCTCCTCTTCCTCTGAGGAATCACAGGTGTTCATAGTTCAGTTCACCTGCTTAGTTTTTACCATTGCCCATTTTCTCCATCTGTGCCACACAGCCAGGACTATTTTTGGGCAGGAACGCACAGGAACGGAGTTCCAGCTGGCTTCAGAGCTGGCCACGCCCACTACAGCCAAAACCTCTGTGTGCCTGGCTACGGAGGGAAGGCCTGAAGAGCGACACCACCACCACCGGCGACTCTGAGGCGGGCGGGCCAGGACCCCCCCTGGAAGGATCGGGGAGGCATTTAAATGCCTTCCCTTCAATGAGGGGCTTGCCCAGGCTCCCCACAACCGCAGGGCACCCGGGCAAGCCAAGGGAAGGCATGGGGTGTAACCTAATATGCTAATGAGCTGTGCGGTCGGGGTGTGGCCTAATATGCTAATGAGTTTCTGCTGCTGGGTGTGGCCTATTATGCTAATTAGTTCCCGCTGGGCTTTTTCTACAAAAAAAGCCCTGCACACAGCATAAACCTGTACTCAGCGCCAGCAAGAAGTATTATGTCAGGTGAATTGTGCAGCAAGGCACTGAGAATATTGACGCCTCTGCCTGCCCGCAGAGTGCTGCTCTTGAACGCGGGCGACAGTAGACAGTGCTGCTTTATTAGATTCATGAGTAACCCACAGGCTGAATGGCCAGAAGCGCCTTTTTTCCCATGATGCCTTTCTAAGGCTAACTGTCAAAGACAACTTCTAGAAGCTAAACTTGGCACCTCCAAATAAAGGCCGAGGCATTTTGTGGGAACAGGAACAAAAAAAACCCCACCCCCGTGTTACAGCGTCCTTGTCAAATCAACATCTCTTTTGTTCTTTGACCACCAGTTGAGAGGGGTACACGTTTGTTTGTTTTTTAATTTTAAGAAATGGATAAATCTGATTGAGAGCTGTATTCTTTTTTGTGTGTGTGGTAGCTCTCAGGGCTGCTGAGAAAAGGGGGCACTAGGGGGACAAAATTACCACAGATTTGGGCAAAGCGCACCTGAGGTATAAATCTGTTTAGCCTCCTTATTGGAGTGGGGTGGGGGAGACGTAGGGCTTTGGGCCAGCTACTGCTTCTCCCCAAAACTTCCATATGTCCCTGTGAGCCAACGATTGTCGTCAGGCAGTCATCAGTTGGCCATCCCACCACTCGGGGTGACCCATCTGGCATCAACCAGAGCCCGGGCCTTTTCTGTCATGACTCCTGCTCTGTGGATTGGGCTCCCTGAAGAGGTGAGGGGGAGTTCCCACCTTGGAGTTCTTCAGGAGGTGCTGCGAGGCCTGCCTCTGTTGCGTGGCTGAGCTCATCGGAGGGGAAAACCATATGGTTTTCTCCTCCAACGAGCTCAGCCACGCCCCCAACGTCAGCACGTCGCCCGTCACTTCCGACGACGTGCTGCCGGCGCGCGCGCGCACTCCGTCGAGCAACTCCCGGACTCCGAGGACGCTCCCCCGGCGAGAGGGGTAAGAAGAGTTGGCAACCCTAGTAGTATTAATAATAATAATAATAATAATAATGATAATAATGATAATGATAATAATGATAATAAAAAACTCTCCTAAAAAGGAGATAATTTTATTGCTTTAAATTTTACAGAAAAAAAGGAGGGTATATAGAGGGATTAAGAAAAGGGCGAGTGATGAGTAAATCAGTATATTAATCTTTTATCAGTATTAGTACAGTCCATAGCTTCCACCATGAGCGGTCGATCGTTTGCCAGGGCTTTTGAGGGAATTTGAATTGGCCGGCATCTTTTTAAGGGAGGGGAGAGGAAGAGATGTGGGGTTTGTTATTTTTTGTTTGTTTGTTTTTGAACTGAAAAATGTTTTTAACTATTATTGTAAGCTGCCTTGAATTACAAGGGAAGGCAGGATATAAATGTTTTAATACATGACAGCTACCATCCAGGGTTTCTGTGAGAATAAAATGGGTGGGACACGCCTCACTGAATCGCCTTGCAAGAGATGACGGGTGAGATATAAAGGTGAACAGCAACATTTTAAAAAGTTGATGGTAAACCACTGAATACTAATAAAACACTGAACCCCAGAGCCGAGAGGCAATGTCAGGGGAAGACCTCAGCCTCTGTGCCCTGTTGTTGGACCTCCAGAGGAACTGGTTGGGCTCTGTGTGAGGCAGGATGCTGGACTAGATGGGCCACTGGTTTGATCCAGCAGGGCTCTTCTTATGTTCTTATTAAGGGATGGCCTTGGCCTCTATGCCCCATTGTTGGCCCTCCAGAGGGATTGGTTGGCCTCTGTGTGAGGCAGGATGCTGGACTAGATGGGCCACTGGTCTGATCCAGCAGGGCTTTTCTTATGTTCTTATTCAGAGTGAGACAAAATTATTGGTCTATTCATATTAACAAGTCACGTGGCTTGTTTTCCAAAAGATGTTCGATGGTGTTTGTGGGAGAGCCCTTGCATGGAGGGTTGCTGGGTCTTTTGACAGCCCCGCCTTTTAAAGAACTCTATTGATGCTGGGCCAGGCCTAAATCATGCCCGAGAATCCCCCAGAACACAAGGAGCTTTTGTACCCCGCTATGCAGGGTTCTTTGGCAGATTGAATAGTTGTGCGGGGAAATTGACTTGAAGCGTGATAGAGGCCGTGTCCAAGTGGTGATCTTAGTGTGTTCCTAAGGATTAATCTCTCAGGAACCACTGAGTGAGCAAAGAACCCGGGTAATTTCAAGGCATGGCAGTTTTAAACCAGTCTCCCGATCTTGTGGGTTGTGGTTCCCACAGGGAAAGAGTTCCTCTGTGCCTCTCAGATGAACATCAACATTGCCACGTGGGGTCGTCTGATGATGAGTATCTTACCGCCTTGCAGTTCCTTGACCACCTTAAGCCCCCCTTTCCGGGCATCCCCCCGCGTGGGCCTCGCTTCTGCAGCCCCTTCTCAAAGCCGAACAGAATTGGTGTCTACGTTGGACGGGTAAGCGAATATGTTCTGAACACTGTCAGCAAATTGCGGCAGTTGCCAATGAATCTAAGCGCACTTGAAAACAAAACATGGGCTTACTATGTTTGAGGCATGGTAAATAAATATAGTTGATGACATACAAAGTACTTTATAGGAAATTAGAAAAATCCATTCCAACCATCACTAATATTATAAGGTAGAAAGTAGAAATACACGAAGTCCATATATGCAAGAACTCTTGAAATAAGATTATTCTTCTGCTTGGACTTCCTTGAGGGTAACGATGAACCAGGATCATTTAACCCAACAGGTGTTCGATATTAGCTGTTTCGAACTCTCTTTTTCAAGAGCTGACGAGCCTCTTAATAATATGACCAATACAAGAATTTTCACAATACAAGAACTCGTGAAGTACTTCTTCACCCAAAGAGTGATTAACACATGGAATTCACTGCCACAGGAGATGGTGGCGGCTACAAGCATGGAGGGCTTCAAAAGGGAATTAGATCAGCATATGGAGCCAGAGGTCCATCAGTGGTTATTAGCAACAAGGTATAGATAGGGGCTCTGGGGCAAGTGATGCTCTGTCATCTTGGTGCTTGGGGGGGGGGTCAACAGTGGGAGGGCTTCTAATGTCCTGGCCCCACTGGTGGACCTCCTGATGGCACTGGTATTTCTGGCCACTGTGTGACACAGAGTGTTGGACTGGATGGGCCTTTGGCCTGATGCAACATTGGCGTCTCTTATGTTCTTATGACCAGTAAGAACTGGTTTCAACCAACTCGGAACGCAAACACCTTCAAAATTTCCAAGTAGCAGGTCAATCACTCCAGCTCAGGTTTGACATTTTGCTTTTTTTTTTAGAAGAGTTTTATTAGTTTTTCAAAAGTAAAAGAAAAGAAGACAGCAACTACAAAGAGAGAAAGACTAACATACAACAAATATGGAGTCTGTACTCATTGTACCTACTTAAATTTTGCATAGATAGAATCATTCTGTTATGCACCTAGATCAGTTTAACAGTTTAACAAGTAGAGCTTATGCTTTAATTATTATGTTACACGTTTTGCGAGATAGTCCTCGATCCATTTATAAAGTCTTGACCAGTTCTTCTCAAAACGTTCTCCTTTTTTATCTTGTAATTGTAGAGTTTATCCATTTCCGCAATTTCCAATAATGTATAGATTATTTCTTCGTTGGATGGGACTTCTTTTTTACGGTTTGGCGTTTTGCTGTTTTGTTCGGAGCAGCAACTCGGCTGCTTCGAAAGGCTGACTTTTCTCTGCCTCCAAGGGTCCAACAGGACGCTCTGCGGGAAAACTGTGACCGGATCTCCTGAGGCTTATTTAGCATTGAAAAGCTGCTTTGGGGGGAATAGACCTAGGAGAGAAACAGGGCGGACATCCGTGTTGCCTCTGGGGTTGTTGTCGTTGATGCTGTGTGGTGTACACTGTAACATCTGCCTGCAGGTCTTTGGAAGAAAGATCTCCCCGAAACCTGTCTCCCAAATGCAGCAACTGCCCGGTGGCTAAACTGACTTTCGACGCCGAGCCACCTCCCAAGCCACCCCGCCTCTTCCTGGAGCCTTCGCCCAAAAAGCTGGAACAGGCTGCTGTGGATTCTTTGGTAATATGGAGCCATCTGATGCCGTGTTCCCTCTAAGCTGAGTTAGTGTGAGCTAGCTCACAAGTTTTCTAGCCTCCGGCTCACACATTTTTGTCTTAGCTCAGGGAGGAGGGCTCCAGAGCAAAACTAATTTATGCAGCGGCCAAATCGCTCGCTCACAACTTTAATGCCAGTAGCTCACAAAATAGCCGCTCAGAGACCCCTTCGGGGGTTAGAGCGGGGTAGCAAGCCAAAGAAATAAATAAAAATAAATAAATAGGATTTTTGCTCACAAGACTCCGCAGCTTAGCGGGAGCATTGATCTGATGTGTGGTCAGGTTTCTGTAGAGAACTTGTGGTCAACCTGCTCACAGTCTAAATAAGTGTTGTGGGCGGACGGGGAAGGCCCGGAAGGTCCGTCGTTGTTTCCATGGCATGCCCCACCCCCCGCACGAGATTGCCTATCTTGCTTTTTTAAAACCTGAAAGTAGGACGATAATAAAGATTGCCAGCTCTGGCTTTGTAAATCCTTGGCGATTTGGAAGCCGAACTTGAGGAGGGCAGAATTTCAGGAGGGGAGGGGGCACAGCATAAGTATGGTTCCATGGGCACCTGTAAATATGATGGCACTGACACCTTCCAAAGTGGCCATTTTCCCCACGGGAACTGATCTCTGTTGCCTGGAGACCACTTGTAATGCTGGGAGCCAGTTTGGTGTCATGTTTTAGTGCGCGGACTCTAATCTGGGAGAACCAGGTTTGATTCCCCACTCCTCCACTTGCACCTGCTGGATGACCTTGGGCAAGTCGTAATTCAGGCCAGGGGTCATTTCGTAGAAAAAGAGGCGCGGAACTCATTAGCATAACTCACTCGCATAACTTATTTCCATATGCCACACCCCCTGGCATCAGATGGAAGGGAAGGCGGTTTAAACCCCCTCCCCGTCCATGGCTCGCCCACGCGTCCTGCGGCTGCGGGGCCCCATTTTTGTTTCTCGTAGAGAGCTAGAGCAGTAATTTTGGATCGTTTATATGATTTAGATTTTCAGAGATCTCATATTAGAGCACGTGGATAGATCCAGATGGTCAGCCGTATTGGTCTGAAGCAGCAAATCAAATTTAGAGTCCAGTGGAACCTTTAAGACCAACAAAGGTTGTGTGCAAGGCATGTGCCTTGCACATGGAAGCCCATACCTTGAATAAACCTTTGTTGGTCTTAAAGGTTCCACTGGACTCTAAATTTGTTCTAGAGCACACAGAGTTTGCTCTCCCACTTATTTGGGCTTGTCCTGTCCCGGAAGTCTCCCACTGTACATTAAGCAGTTGCCTGGGCCCCGGTATAGGAGAGCTTTTATGCTTGCTAAGTTGAATTCTATACCATCTCAAGTAATGAATGGTCGTTATAAGAAGGTGCCCTATTTGGAGGAGAGGCTATGCTTATGTGCTACTGGGGAAATTACTGGAGCATTGTGTATTACTGAGCATTGTTCAGTAATTACTGAGCATTGTTCAGAGAGCCAGTTTGGTGTAGTGGTTAAGTGTGCGGACTCTAATCTGGGAGAACCGGGTTTGATTCCCCACTCCTCCACTTGTACCTGCTGATGTGACCTTGGGTCAGTCACAAGCTCTGGCACAGCTGTTCTTGAAAAAGAGCAGTTTGTGTCAGAGTTCTCTCAGCCCCACCCACCTCACAGGGTGTCTGTTGTGGGGAGGGGAAGGGAAAGGAGTTTGTAAGCCGCTCTGAGACACCTTTGGGTAGTGAAGGGCGGGGTATAAATCCAATCTCCTCCTCCTCCTCCTCCTCCTCCTCCTCCTCTTCTTCTTCTTCTTCTTCTTCTTCTTCTTCTTCTTCATGTCCCCTTTTTTCAAAGGTGAGAGATTAGTGGATCATTCCATCCCTAGGTGAGATGGTGGGTGCATCAGTGGGTGGAAAAATTGGGGAGACTTTTGGCTGGGGTGGAGTCAAAGGCTACTTTGGTGGTGGTTGCAATTCCCCCCCCCACACACACACACACATTACAGCAAGTATAAAATGATTTTGAAATAACTGTTTAGTCTGGTTTATGCAGATTCTAATGTGGCACTACTCGGAACGGTAGTATCATTTAAATAAGTTACCTTAGGGTGGGCTGGCAGAAAAATCCATCAGTGGCCAGATGTTAGCTTCCTTGCATGCTTTCATCGGGAAGTCAAATTGAATAATAAATAAAGGCTAATCAAGGCCTTGACTCTCTTTCTTCTATAAGGCATTGCCTTTTTAGTTCAAGAGTAGGAGGGTGGGTGTCAGGGGTCATTTCGTAGAAAAAGAGACTCATTAGCATAACTCATTAGCATATGCCACACCCCCTTCACTGGAAGTGTGTCATAAGGCCACACCTCCTGACATCACCGGAAATGTGTCATAAGGCCACACACCCCGCCCCCAACGGTCCCGGCCGCCGGTCCCGGCCTTGCAGCTCCACTGCCGAGCCCCATGAGGGGCCCAGCGGTGGACCTGCAAGGCCGGCGGGAGTGCAAGGAAGCCCCGCGAAGGCCCTCCCTGGCAACTTACCCTCCCTCTTCTCCGGCCTCCTCCTGGCTGAATGAGGGCCGGAAGCGGGGCGGCCGGAAGCAGGGGGCGGGGCTTCATCATGTGCCCCGCCCCCCGTACCTCACCCAGGGGAACTGCGTTCCCCCGCGTTCCCCCCCGAAATGACCTCTGGTGGGTGTGCATCTTCTTCATTCAGCAAGAACAGGACAGTGGTTTGTTCACTTTGAAATATCTAGCCCTCATGGGGGATGTGCAGGTGAGGTGGGAAATGTGTCTTCTGACTGGGGAAGAAATTCACTTTCTTGAGGGCCTTCCCTTTCAAGGAAGGCCCAAAGCGGAGCTGAATAACTTGAGCTGCTTTTTGCTCCAGCGGAACTTTTAACAGCCCTTTCCTTAGCGGTGACCCAGAGTGTTTTTTCTTTTCCTGCTTTTACAGCCTCTCAAAAAGCTACACCTCGACGAAAGGCCCCTTGGCCGAGAAACGGCTGGCCGGGCTTCTTTGAGGTGAGTTCCACAAGTGGAGAGGATGGTCACCCAAAGTGAGGAAGAGGAGAAGGGGGGCACTCTCAAATTAAGAACAGCACATGCGTGTATAAAATGCCATCAAGTCGCAGCCGACTTACGGCGACCCCAGCAAGGGGTTTTGAAGGCAAGTGAGAAGCAGAGGTGGTTTGCCATTGCCGGCCTCTGCAGAGTCTTCCTTGGTGGTCTCTCATCCAAGTACGGAGACTGCTTAGCTTCTGAGATCTCACAAGATTGGGGCTATACTGTACCGTATTCCATATCCCTAATAATAGCATATAGACCTTTACATATATTGGATTTGATCCAGTCACTCTCTTTCTGCTGTGTCTTTCTCCGCTGGAGAATCAGCTCAGAAGCACCAAGAACATGCCCTACTTGGTTGAGGCAAACGTTGGCACTCTTGTCATTGGTTTTCAGAGT